TCATTGACGTACGTACACACATGCATTCTTCATTATATTAGAGCAGGCTTTTAGTTCTTGGGGTAGATTCTTTCTCAAGAAAAATATAAAGCAGAAAAAAAAGGAAAATGTTACTTTTAACAGTATTTTTTTTATAAATATCAGTTTATGTTTATGTTTCATGTTTAAATGGTTTATGATGGTTTTCATATAAATGGTTGGTTGGTTTGTTGTTTAATGCCGCACTGAGCAATATTCCAGCTATATGACGGCGGTCTGTAAATAATCAAGTCTGGAACAGACAATCCAGTGATTGATATCATGAGCATCGATCCACGCAATTGGGATCGATGACATGCATCAACCAAGTCAACGAGCCTGACCACCGGATCCCGTTAGTCGCCTTTTACGACAAGCATAGTCGCCTTTTACGGCAAGCATGGGTTGCTGAAGACCTATTCTACCCCGGAATCTTCACGGGTCTACCATATAAATGGTGTGTAAATGGTCTGACTGGAAGGTCACTGATATTTCAAGTACCCCAACATCTGAATCTGGTCATACTGTTTCAGTCTGTGTCAACAGCAGCATCCGAGTCTTTATGCTCTTTTTATTCCTTAAATATAGGCTGTCATAAGCTAGGATTACTAGACCAAAAGCTAGCTTCAGGCTAGTGGTTAGGTCACAGACTGTGATATTTCCTTGTTGGAAAGACAACAATTACAAATTATATTTTTGGACAATTTAAAAAAATTCAGATAGTCAAATAATTATGAGAACTATTTTAAAATAGTTCAGCGGATATTTTTCAATCTGGTTTATCAGAAGACTTTGGAATGGAGACATCATTTAACAATTTCCTCTCATTTCTTTTGTAATGTTTCAATATTTATCAAACATATTCATTCCCTCCTTCCTGTTGTGACCTGTGCTGGAACTGCCAACGTAAGCCGATGATCCTCCCCAGATCTCACTCATTACCTACTAGGCTACCATAGGCAACCGCAATGGCAACAGAAACTCTCTGGGATCTGGTTGTCTGGCTATACATGTTGTTTATATGTATAGAGCCAGGATATAGATATATCATGTGTCAGTAAGAAAATGAACAATATGTTGTATTCCTGACAGTATGTACCCTGGGTCTGTGGCCTTACAGTATTCCTGACAGTTTGTAGCCTGGGTCTGTGACCTTAGTATTCCTGACATTATGTACCCTGGGTCTGTGGCCTTACAGTATTCCTGACAGTATGAAGGCTGGGTCTGTGACCTTACAGTATTCCTGACATTATGTACCCTGGGTCTGTGGCCTTACAGTATCCCTGACATTATGTACCCTGGGTCTGTGGCCTTACAGTATTCCTGACAGTATGTAGCCTGGGTCTGTGGCCTTACAGTATTCCTGACAGTATGTACCCTGGGTCTGTGGCCTTACAGTATTCCTGACATTATGTAGCCTGGGTCTGTGGCCTTACAGTATTCCTGACAGTATGTAGCCTGGGTCTGTGGCCTTACAGTATTCCTGACAGTATGTACCCTGGGTCTGTGGCCTTACAGTATTCCTGACATTATGTACACTGGGTCTGTGGCCTTACAGTATTCCTGACAGTATGTACCCTGGGTCTGTGACCTTACAGTATTCCTGACATTATGTACCCTGGGTCTGTGGCCTTACAGTATTCCTGACAGTATGTAGCCTGGGTCTGTGGCCTTTGTATTCCTGACAGTATGTACCCTGGGTCTGTGACCTTAGTATTCCTGACATTATGTAGCCTGGGTCTGTGACCTTTGTATTCCTGACATTATGTACCCTGGGTCTGTGGCCTTACAGTATTCCTGACATTATGTACCCTGGGTCTGTGGCCTTAGTATTCCTGACAGTATGTACCCTGGGTCTGTGGCCTTAGTATTCCTGACAGTATGTACCCTGGGTCTGTGGCCTTAGTATTCCTGACAGTATGTACCCTGGGTCTGTGGCCTTAGTATTCCTGACAGTATGTAGCCTGGGTCTGTGACCTTAGTATTCCTGACATTATGTAGCCTGGGTCTGTGGCCTTACAGTATTCCTGACAGCATGTAGCCTGGGTCTGTGGCCTTAGTATTCCAGATAGCATGTATCCTGGGTCTGTGACCTTACAGTATTCCTGACATTATGTACCCTGGGTCTGTGACCTTAGTATTCCTGACATTATGTACCCTGGGTCTGTGACCTTTGTATTCCTGACAGTATGTACCCTGGGTCTGTGGCCTTACAGTATTCCTGACATTATGTACCCTGGGTCTGTGGCCTTAGTATTCCTGACATTATGTAGCCTGGGTCTGTGGCCTTACAGTATTCCTGACAGTATGTAGCCTGGGTCTGTGGCCTTAGTATTCCAGATAGCATGTAGCCTGGGTCTGTGACCTTACAGTATTCCTGACATTATGTACCCTGGGTCTGTGACCTTAGTATTCCTGACATTATGTACCCTGGGTCTGAGTGGCCTTACAGTATTCCTGACATTATGTACCCTGGGTCTGTGACCTTACAGTATTCCTGACAGTATGTAGCCTGGGTCTGTGGCCTTACAGTATTCCTGACATTATGTACCCTGGGTCTGTGGCCTTAGTATTCCTGACATTATGTAGCCTGGGTCTGTGGCCTTACAGTATTCCTGACATTATGTACCCTGGGTCTGTGGCCTTAGTATTCCTGACATTATGTACCCTGGGTCTGTGACCTTAGTATTCCTGACATTATGTACCCTGGGTCTGTGACCTTTGTATTCCTGACAGTATGTACCCTGGGTCTGTGGCCTTACAGTATTCCTGACATTATGTACCCTGGGTCTGTGGCCTTAGTATTCCTGACATTATGTAGCCTGGGTCTGTGGCCTTACAGTATTCCTGACAGTATGTAGCCTGGGTCTGTGGCCTTAGTATTCCAGATAGCATGTAGCCTGGGTCTGTGACCTTACAGTATTCCTGACATTATGTACCCTGGGTCTGTGACCTTAGTATTCCTGACAGTATGTACCCTGGGTCTGAGTGGCCTTACAGTATTCCTGACATTATGTACCCTGGGTCTGTGACCTTACAGTATTCCTGACAGTATGTAGCCTGGGTCTGTGGCCTTACAGTATTCCTGACATTATGTACCCTGGGTCTGTGGCCTTAGTATTCCTGACATTATGTAGCCTGGGTCTGTGGCCTTACAGTATTCCTGACATTATGTACCCTGGGTCTGTGGCCTTAGTATTCCTGACATTATGTAGCCTGGGTCTGTGGCCTTACAGTATTCCTGACAGTATGTACCCTGGGTCTGTGGCCTTACAGTATTCCTGACATTATGTACCCTGGGTCTGTGGCCTTAGTATTCCTGGAATTATGTACCCTGGGTCTGTGGCCTTACAGTATTCCTGGACTTATGTGGCCTTACAGTTGTACTGAAACAAACATATGTAAATACTGTCATGATACTAAACTGGCAATGATTAAACCATTAATAAATGGAATTAATATTGTTATTACTGTACTCCTGTTAAACATAAGTAAAAGAGGAATTAATCTTTCCTGAGCTTTAAAGCAGCATTAGTGATATCTTCAACAAACGTGGTGAAGGAGTATGGTAACACATCATTTATAATCACACTGACACATTTAATAATATGATCGTTACACTGCTTAACATATGTCAAGATAACATTAAAAACTTAAAGAGTTACCAGTATCATTATTGTTAAAACATTAAAAGGCAGCGTCTTAGTACTTGAGGTCAGAGCCAAATAACAAGCATGAAATACTCCAGTCCAAGCTTCAGCAGCATGATGGAAGGTGTACATAATGGCATAAATATGATTTCTTTGGGGTTTGGTTTGTTGATTAAGGCCGCACTCGGCAATATTCCAGCTATATGATGGCGGTCTGTAAATAATCGAGTCTGGACCAGACAATCCAGCGATTAATATCATGAGCATCGATCCACGCAATTGGGATCGATGACATGTCAACCAAGTCAGCGAGCCTGACCACCTGATCCCGTTAGTCGCCTTTTACAACAAGTATAGTCGCCTTTACGGCAAGCATGGGTTGCTGAAGACTTATTCTACCCTGGAATCTTCATGGGTTGGCATAAATATGAAATGCAACCAACAAGACCATAGCAGGGCTTCATTGCAATATCTGTTTTATATGATCAACAACATGGATGTTATAAAGTCAAAGGTCTGTTGCTGACAAACATCTTCCAATTATTTTAATTTATCCGAAATGAAAGAGTAACTATTGTTCTGTTAGATCTGTTTTTATGTAGTAGAGATTGTTCTTCTGTTAGGCCTGTTTTTATGTGGTAGAGATTGTTCTACTGTTAGACCTGTTTTCATGTGGTGAACATGGTGAAGACTGTTCTGTTAGGTCTGTTTTTATGTCGTAGAGATTGTTCTATACATTTCAAGACCTGTCTAAAGTTTGTGAAGAATCTCAAATAGTTTTTCTATTGACTACCTGCGATGACATGACTTTAAAAAAGCAAGGGCAATAACTCTGTCAATTTGGATCCAAAAAAAATTAATTTACCATCATAAAAATATTGTGTTCTTCATGAAAGTGCTTTGCAAAATTCTAGAACAGAAAATAATAAATATTTGATATTTTCATCTCGGACTGGCAGCTGTGCCAAAATCTTTTTGAGTTTGTCATTACAAGCTTGTCTCTTGGCATCCTTTCTGTAGATTGTTTCACTGACATTTGGTCTATGTTTGGTGAGCCGACTAGACCAAAAGAAGTTAGAGTAGACACAGATTTCAGACTAGTGGATTATGTTTCAGACTTGATTTAACAAATTTTCATAGCCACTTCGATAGTTCAGATGATATCTGCCACAAATAAAATATTCCACATGTTAAAATGAAAACACGTCTGCCTTCATGATGTAGGCAATGCTAATAAATCACACCTAGAAAGTACAAATCATTAAAGCAATAAAATGTTGAAATTCCATGTAGTTGAGAGGTGATAACCTGAATACCTGTGCCACGACCTACCTGGGTGTCATGTTGTCTCCAGGCTAGCAGTGTTCCATGACAATAAACAGGTATCACAGTAGTGTTTCCATACACGGACAGGTCCTTACTGAGTTGGGGCTATCTAAATCATCTCCACCTGACTTAGCCAGGGTGCCGGCCAGCCATTGAAACAAGGAGGTGCCTGCTGCAGCATAGCGACTGTGTGTGTGTGTGTGAGGCTCACGCAAGGGCTGACTGTGTCCTATGTCCGCCTGACGACGCTAGTGTAGCTAGTTGTTGTCATAGACGACCCACGGACTGTCACTCAGTACTTTGTCATTAACCAGCAAAAACTAATTGGTATTTGTAGTGTGCATTGATCTCTTTCTTCACCACACGGAAACCAACACTGATGTGTTGGCAGATCATGCACATGTAAATATTGGATGGACTAGGATAATATTAGTCAATAGATTAAATGAGGAAGGTTTCTTTCCCATTCAGTAATTGCTACCAAAAGAAATAACTGATTTAATCCTATTTTAATAAAAATCCCTCACATGACACTAATACAAACAGGGTTAGAAACTAACATGTTTAGTCCACTAGTCCTTATAATGATAACATATAGCAAAACCCTTAAAATGGGCCAATTTCTACTAGTCCTTATGATACCTTAACTATTGGGCAGTTTGGTAAAGACTACAGGACTAGTGCCAATTTCTAACGCTGACAAATATCCTGAATGAAAAATACAACGTTGTGAAATAAACAGATTCGACAATGTTACTTGATAACCCGAAAGAGAATCTCTTACACATGAAGGTGCTAGCAGATACAGATTGTATACATTAATTAAACCATACAAGGATCAATAAAATGGTACATTATTTAACAATAATTTCCGGGTTTCAGATTGGCATATTTTCTAGGACCTTAATTGTATTCCAAAATGTCCTTTAACATTGGAAACCGCAGCAAACACTAATCATTTCTGGATATCAAATTCTAAATAACATTATCACCCCCAAATCTGACAAGCGTTACTCAAACTAGAATCAGTCTCTCAACTGGTGTATCTGAGGTTGAAGGATTGTACAACAGTTCATGGAGCATATCAGTGGCTAAAGAAAACACTGTGTTCAGAACATGGAATACCTGACTCATACATAGTTAGTCCTGCTCTCACACATGCAAGTGCATGTATTAGTGAGTGAGTGAGTGAGTGAGTGAGTGAGTGAGTGAGTGGGGTTTAACGCCACTTTTAACAGTATTCCAATTATATCACAGCGTGCCAGCTTAATGTGGGAGGAAAACCCGAAGTGATGCAGGTCTCAGACGTTTACCACTTCGGTGAAACCCACGAGCACGGGTACGGTGCTGACAAACCTAGAAACATAATCGGGGAGAACCGGGATTTGAACCCACAATCATAGGCTTCTGGCGTGCCCAAGGGATGCAACTCTGCACATCTAGTCGCGGCGCCTTAGACGTGTCCCCCTGTATTACAAAGAATGCCAGGACATACTGTAAGCTCATTATGAAGACAGTGCAGTGTAAGAAACGGACACTAGTCCTGCAGTCCTTGCCAAACTGCCCAATAGTTAAGGTATCATAAGGATTAGTAAAAATTTGCCATTTTAAGGGTTTTGCTGTATTTATCATTATAAGGACTAGCATAAATGCAGATAGTAAGCTGATATTGTCTGTTAATGTATACAATCTACAGGAGCATATATGAAATCCTGAACAGTGTTCCCTAACAACAATCTACAAGAAATTGAATGATATCCTACTACTTCATCAAAACTGTTGATTCCTTAGCGACGTCTCGTAACAATACTCTCAACCAAAGGTTGTATCATTACTCAGGGATGTGAGCAGGTTTTCCCGAAAAAAGAGGAAAAGTCTAGGGGGGTCTGGGGGCATGCTCCCCCCCCCCGAATTTTTTTAAACATTTGATTGCATTTTAAGCAATTTCATGCAGTTTGGACAACATTCACACCAAGAAATGTAAAAAGTCAATGGCAAAAGTCAATAAGTCAAATAAATAAGATGGCAGATGCAGTAAAATTTCGAAGTTAAATCAGTACTTTTAAAAAATCGGGCATAGCTGCCACACACCTGGCTACCCGCCAGGTCTGGGAGCAATACTGCCATAAACTTCAACCCCCATCCCCCAGACACAAGGACAACTGTCACAAGCGTGCAATGTCTGACCCTTTCCCCATGTTGGAGCATATTGAAAAAAACTTACCTTGTACTTACCTTTTGTTGAAAAAAACAAAACTCCATTGCAAACATAAGACATTAATACAACATATATCCCCATGTTATGGGTTTTTGGACGCTGAAGAAACATTCATAGTTTTCTCGCTAATCACATGAACAACTGTAAAACATCTCATTCACTTACAGGCTAAAAGACAACTTTATCTTAAAAACAAGCCATCATCTGACTCTGAGTATTTACAATTTCTGTGTGACGCCACACCCCACGTTGTAGTGCAAGTATTCGTGATAGAAAACGTATGATGTCCGAAAACCTATACTGCTGAAAGCTCTGATCGAAAACAGGACAATCCGCGACGATTGTCCGGTTTTCGATCATATTTTTCGGAGTGTTTTTTTTAAAATCTTTGATAATATTTTTACGCGGAAGATGATTTTTCCCGAGGACTACTGTTTTAAAAAACGCGATTTTCCGCGTTTCCGCGGAGATTTCACATCCCTGATTACTTGAAGGTAGATTGATAATAATGTGGCTTGTCCATGCTACAAATCCTTCACACATTGGTTTGGGTGGGAATAGATAGGGGTAGTGGTAGAGGTAGGGGCAAGGATAGGTGTAGGGGAAGAGGTGGGGGGTAGGGGTTGGGCTGTGGGGTAGGGATAGGGGTGGGGGGTAGGGGTAGGGTGGGAATAGATAGGGGTAGAGGTAGGGGTAGGGTGGGAATAGATAGAGGTAGGGGTAGGGTGGGAATAGATAGGGGTAGGGGTAGGGGTAGGGGTAGGATGGGAATAGATAGAGGTAGGGGTAGCGAGGGCCGGGGATGGTGGTGATTCTCTCCTCCTTGAACATGGTAAAGTTTTCTGCTGTCTTTGGTAGGATTGGAAACTTAAGCAGGGCTTGACAAACCCCAATATACTACACCACTTTTCCGAATGATATCTTAGATCTTTCCATGATGCACAAAACTGATTCTCATCATATGTCAAGCGTATATTCAAATAGAAGGACACGTCAATCAACAGGAGTATACATATAAAGGACAAGTGGCACTTGAAAACTCACTTGTCTTCACACATATTTTATTTGTCAACTACAATAAAAACAGTTTGGGATAACCATTATTAAAGGAAATACATGATTTGGTCTCCCTCAATCCACTTGCCACTGGAGAAGAACATGACTGACAGGTTTGACATAGCGTGGGTGTCGGGTAGTACTTATTGTCAACCCTAGACTGCACCTGTTAACATGAGGGTAACAGCAAGAACCCCTCTACTCCCTGGGCTTATTCCAACACTGTACATGCACACACACAATCTAAGTCCATTAAAACAGCACAAGGAATTCACTGGCCATTCTGATATGCAAATGCGCAAAAACAATACAAGTCTCTTATTTCACAATCAATTACACCACCTTTTTTCTTCAGGTGACCATTTCAACATTATTTGTTTATGCGATGATGAAACCCACTTACTATGAAGGGAACTATCAGTAGAACCATCAGTACCACCAACCTGCCCCCAGTCCAGCAGGGCTGTGTAATTCTATATCAAATCATGCGCTAAATACTCCTTCACAGCAGGCATCAGTGGTCTCTGCCAGATAATACTGCTGGGCTAAGACTAAGCAGATGTACAAACACCTGTATGTTGTGTGACCTGCCTACCCCTGGACAGGGTGCTTAGGAGCAAACACAGTTGTACACAAGTAAACACTGCTAGCCCGTTGGCCCATGGCCAGTTAAAATTACAAAGGGCTTGCTGAAACCCCTCCTCTGTGCATGTTTAATTTTTTTTAAGTGGATCATCACGGTTAAATGACAACCAGACGCCTTTTTGTAATGTTGTGTACAACAACTTCTTTATTTGCTTATTAATCATCACAAAATGAGGCAAATGGAAGCCAAGATTTAATCTCAGAGTGCAGGAAAAAACAGAATTTTCAGAGCCCTGCTATATGGCTATGCAACCTCATAAGGAGCAGGTCCTGCAGTCTTTTAAAACATGTTAAGGGTATTATCAATCAAGTTGTATTGGTATTCCTAAAACCGTATTCGACGTAATAAGCGCCCAGGGCGCTCTCAAAATTAGAAAGAGGGGGCTCTTATTAGAATATAATTTTGGTGAAAGAGTTGAAAGATCGTAAATTTGTGGTTTAGGCTGACAGCCTGAAATGATACAAAAGAAAAGTCTGTACGTATAAGACACGCCAGATATATTTTTCCAGAATTTAATTTCCCGTATTTAAGGGTGCATATAACACACGAAGGGTGCTAATTGGGATTGTTCACGAGCCAATATATTAGCAAATATCGCCGTGGGTGCTCATTAGAGCGGGGCGCTTATTACGTCGAATACGGTATTTGTATTTGAGCAGTTGGTAAATACTCATAGATTTCAATTTCACTGATCATGATGAGATTCTTTCATTAATCCCTTACCATATAGTTCATTCATATGACAAATGACTAGCTATTTGATCTGTCAAGTTTGTTTTAAGTTGTGATATTTACCATGAGGTTTTATCCTACATCTTTTGATTGAATAACAATCTGGGATCTAATCCTCTATTCCTCAGCCCGAGTTAAGTAACATTCTGTTAGGTCTAGTTTACTCAACAAATACTTGTCCATATAACACACTTAAATCTATTAAAACTGATTCTTACAGACAATTACGTGCTGGCAGACTTTGGCACAGGCTGGAATAATCGTTAACATTGCTATCAATCTCATCTAAATCAGATTTTTAATTCTGACACAATATACCTCTTTGTAGAAGGATCTGATGACACATCCATAGGAGATCATGTATGGCAGAACATTCTTATCTGCCAGATAGCGCATGGGGCATCTACATTATCGGTATCTCAAAAACAAACTAAAGACAACAAGTTCCAAATGCAAATAATTAAAGCTACACAAAATAGTGGATGTTCATGCACCCTGTCATTTTTTTAAGTGCCCTGACATTGACT